ACACACACACGCACACACACACATATATATATATATATATATATATATATATATATATATATATATATATATATGTATGTATGTCACAAGTGCATGCACAGACTGAAGACAGGCAGATGAATAAAGTTCCAACACAATCTTAAATAATATTCCACAGGATAAATATAACACAGGGTAGCAGCAAACACACACTTTACACACACGTGACCGGACCCTGAACTGATGAAAAGCAGGAACTTAAGTATACAACGAAAGAGGTGATTAAATAAACACAGCTGAACTGAACGAAGAAATCATTATTAACCATAGAATCCAAGGAAAAGCAGGAAAATCAAGCAAAGGAATACAGGAACTAATGAATACAAACTAAAGGTCTGTGACACTGAAACTAACTGTAATACTAGTGACAGTATAGTGCAGTACATTAAGATTAAGCTGTGTTAAATTGAGTACATTGAATAACTGTAGAATATATTAATTATTTTAATTTCAAATACAAATATATAAACATCAATTAGGTTTTTATATAAAACACTAATTCATAATGCACTCTCCATTCCAGACTATTTTGCAACACATTTTTCCTTACAAGTATTAGCCTAAATTTAATTTTCCCCCTTTCTTTTCCTTTCTTTTTTTAATGTTATTTGATATAGAGCCATATCACATTACTATGAGTGTTACTTTAATTTGGGAATAATAAGGGAAAATCAAAAATAGTTAATCATTAAACAGAAGTGTCTATGCCCCCATTACTAATAGTGATGGGAAGTCAAATTCCTTTCTTTCGAACAGTTCAATAATCAGCAGAATAGGAGCACAACACATCCAACAATAAACTCCATCACACATGAATTTCTGCAGATGCCCCATAGACATACTGACATCCTGCACATACAGAGACCTAATCAATGTTTTTTCATTGGTCTGATTGTTCATTCTACTTCCACCTCTATTTATTGCTATAATCATTTAGTGCTGTCTGTGGTGGCTTTATTTTTTTTTTTTCACTTTGAAGATAATTATCTTAAAAGGATTGACACTAACTATAAAACCTTCAGAAGTTCTAGAGGACGTTACAGTTGATGTTCCAGTGGATGCATAGTTGCATAGCAAAGTTGATGTCAACTTTGTGCCATTACCTTCTACGCTTAATTGTGAATCCCATTGTTGTATGCTCACTACAAATTTCTGTGTCAAATTTTATAGGCAGATGTTTTCAATCTGTCACTGGTTTACATGGTTTGTACTTAATTCCTCAGGTGCAAAAAGAAGCGAACAGCGGCTCAGGGGACGTGGACACACAAATGGGCAACAAAGGTAAATACTAGAAAACATTCACAGTTAAAACAAAGACTAATTCATCTCTCTTTATGATGTCTAGTTCCTGAAGGAGGATTATTTGTTTAATAAAAAATAAGTAAATAAATAAATAAATTCTGTCATAGGTACACCAAGTCTGAAGCGCAGCGGCTCTATCAAGGACAGGATGGTGAAATATCAATTGGCGGTCACCAGACAGGCTTCTTTTACTGTGCCACGCTCTGTGAGTACATAGAACATTTTATCTGATAGTTTGCTGAAATTAATAATTTAATACCATGTTTTTATTCTTGTGCATGTAGAATATATTTAAGCATCGTCTGTTGATTGGTTCTTCATTTCAGCTTGAACTAAATGTGTATCTGTAGGCTTACTGTAGAGTCTGTAAAGCGTCTTGGGGTTATGTATATAACCCGGTTCCCTGAGATGGGAACAAGACAAATCACATGTATAAACACACCAGTCTTGATTGGCTACGGCAGTCATTTGATATCACTAGCGCACTGGCATACTATAAAAGGGCCCACATAAAGCTTCATCAACTTTGAATTGTCTTTCATCTGAAATATACATAACCTAAGACGTTCCCTTTTGAAGGGAACTTTGATGCTGTGTCATGGTCTTGATGCTATGGGAACATTAATTCCCACTGCGCTATACTGAATAAATGCCTGCTCACCCGCTGTGAAATCAAATGTAGCAAACCAGGCTGTAGCTGAGGTTGCCATACTGATGTGACCAAGAACTTGGTGCCTAGAGGCACAGAATAATTCCACAGTTCATTACCCCTTAGTTGGGATGCTCCCACAAACAGACTGGTTCAAGACCAAATCTATATACTAGAGCAGGGATCCTCAAATCTGGCCCACGAGATCCAATATCCTGCAGAGTTTAGCTCTAACCCTAATCAAACACATGTGAGCATGCTAATCAATGTCTTCAGGATCATTAGAAAATCACAGTTAGGTAAGTTTGATCACAGTTGGAGCTAAACTCTGCAGTGCATTGGCCCTCCAGGGCAAGATATGAGGAACCCTGCTTTAGAGGCAGACCTAACCAGGGAGGCTGGAGCTACAGCTGCTGATGCCGACGACTTCCCATCTGGAAGGGGCAGACAACAACACCACTACCTAAGCTGTCACCAGGCCTCAGCAAATTAAAAAGCTCTTAAAAGCAACACAACCGAAGGGACTTTAACATCCAATTTAAAGAACTGTAAGAGGCTACAGGAGAAAGCGAGTTATCCTCTGCTCTATCCACTGTCCGCTCAACCATCAGTCCTCCTAAGAGGAAATGGCAAAAGCATTATCAGAAAGGGCTCCACCAGCCTAGCCCACCACTACATAAGCCTTGCCCACCAGCCGCAGTGTAGTTTGACATGGCTTAGAGGGCAAATGCCACACCAGGGAGGGATTGCAACACTTCTACCCGGGGCATCTTCTCCTACCCATGCTCACAAGTCCCCTCATATTAGAGTAATTTGAACTATCAAAGGTTACTATGGAAGCTGGGGTATGATTTCCCCACAATCTCGACTAGGGGTGGGTGATATAGCCTCAAAATTATAACACGATATATCAATTACCAGACTACCTAATTCGAAGTGTAAATCTATTGTCATAAGGTGGCAGCAGCAGCAGCTGTGTGTTCGACTTGAAGCAGACCGATCGTGATCGGTGTATGACGTCAAAATACCGTGGGAGTGACTTATGAGTGTGCGCTCGAATATACTCTAGAACCGCACTCGCGATACTTTGATGTCATACCCCGATCAGTCTGTGCAGTGCTGCTTCAAGTTGAACACACCTATTGGGTTTGTGGTGTTGTTGTGCGCGCTAGGGAACGTAAATGCGCCATACGTCATCGCGTCACTATATCATTGATATCGCGATATGACACTTTTTTATCATGTAAAAATTTATACCAGTATTATCGTGGACGGTATGATATGGCTCAGCCCTAATCTCGACTCTTCCTTGTGGAGATCAGAATCATGCTGAATGACACAACAGAAGCCTCTCTCAGCCGCGCCCCCGCGCGATTCCAGTTCTGCGATCAGTTGTCCTTGCGCCTTCACGTCAAATACACACACACACAGCTGTCAAAATGTCCATCGTGTGGAGTATCTCACGTAAATACAGTCGGTTATGGCTTAAGTGAACGTAAACAGGTGTGTGAAAACTGAATATGTGTCAGTATATTGCATTCATTCAATCTTAAAGGGACAGCAGCCTAATTAAATACCTGTCTGTATCATTAATGTTAATCAAACAACAAAATATGTAAAATAAAGTATACATGTTAAACCTACTGTATTAGAAAAACGAGTGTATTTTATTTAATATGTATCTATTGTATTTGTCTTATGGTTTGCAATTTACTTCTTTATTTTTATATGAAAAATAACTATGTACAGGTGTGTGTGTATGTGTATATATATAAATATATAAATATATATA